CACACACACACACACACACACACACACACACACACACAGTGCCAGTCCTAAGAAACTGTTGCTGGGTTACTACAAATCAGAAACAGCCACTTTTCCTGGAGCAGGTTAAGTGCATCTAATAGAACACTTGGGAATTTGGTATTTACTAGAGGGAGGTGGATGGGGAGTGGGGGTGGTGATGAGTACTCTGGCACAGGAGAAATTTGAAACCTTTAGCAAACAGCATTCCTTCATTATGAAAAACTGAATGGGCCTTAGAAAGCAGAGTAGCAGCCTTGCCGCCACTTCTGAAAGATCAGCTGCAGTGTCTGATACAGAAATAGGGCCCTCTGGGGTTGCTGAGACCTCACCGATTTTTCAGGACTCTGGTGTCTGAGCTAACATGGGCTCTGCCAGAGCTAATTATCAGCTTTTCTAGCTGGGGTGGCCAATGGATGTAGGAAGCAGGTGCTGTTTGCCTCTATGGCAGCTGTTGGGTCGGCCTGGGAAGAAAGCAGTGCATAAATAACACCTTTAACCCTCTGGGGAGCAAGTCTTTTTTTCTTTTTTGGAAGGGGATCAGACCAGATGACCTCTCAGTCCTTTCTTTTTTCAGACTTTTTCTGGGGGGATGCAATTAGGGTTAAGTGACTAACCCAGGGTCACACAGCTAGTCAGAGGCCAGATTTGAACACAGGTCCTCCTGACTTCAGGGCAGTTGCTCTATCAACTCTACCACCTAGCTGCCTCCCCAGAGGCAAGTCTTGTGCCACCCGTGCCCTCCATTTCAAAAGGAAGGTTCTTAGGGGTCTCCATCTAGGTCTCAGACAGACAGAACTGCCCTTCAGGGCTGCTGGCAGAGGGAGGGAGGCACCAACCAAAGTCACCTTTCCAACCAATGAATTTTCTATATAAACCATCCAGAGCTATCACCCAGGGTGCATTCAGGCAACCTTTCAACACCTTCAAAGGTCTGCCAAAAGGTGCCAAAACAGAAGCAGGAAACTTTGTTTCAACACTTCTCCCCCATCCCCAGCCAAGCAGCCTGACAGGGAGAAAGGTATCAGGGAGTCCCCAGAACACCACCACTCAGACAACACCACAGGTAACAGTAACGGATGCCAACGGCTCCATTCCCCTTTCTATGTGCGGCAGTGTATAGCAACAGCCCTGGATCCAAAAGGCTCTCCCACACAGGACCCCCTGAACTGGCTTTGGACACAAGCGAGAAGTTACGACATCTCCAGCAGCCTGTGCATGCCTACTGAGGGGTGGCAGCCAGAAGGAAGTGGATGCTACCGTCCTCTGAGGCATGAAAAGTCAAGGACCAGACCTAAGTGGAGCATCAGGGACAGAGGAAGCACTCACAAAAGATGGTTTGAACAAATGTGGGAGTGTAGAAGTGTGCTTCAGGAGGCAATGAATTGCTTAATTAACGGCATGCACGATACATTGGAAGGAGAACCGGACTTAAGCGTTGAGCGATTAGTTTCAAATCCTACCTCACTATCTAGGTGACCTTAGCCAAGTCACTTCTCTGGGCCTCAGTTTCCTTTTCTATACAATAAGGAGGCTGGGGCTAGATAACTTCTCAAGAGCCCTTTCTAGTCTGAATCTATGATCCAATGGACCAAATATTTTTGATTAATGATGCGAAATACAGGAAGGGAAAAATTGAGACTAAAAAGAAAACTAATTGCCATCACTTTACACCTTTGCTTCTTCCCATTCCAATTCCTCAGATCAGCTGTGACCACAACCTTGCATTCTACCTCTCTGGTAGAGAGGGAGCTATCTCTCACTGTATCTGTGTGTCACCTCTGAAAAGAACTCAAGGCAGAGGAAGGAAACGTGACTGCCCATGACTCCTTTCCTACTCCATCCTCACATGGTTAAGGGTTAAAGTGCAGGATATTCACTGAGTGACAGAAAAAAGCCTACAAACTGAAGTTCCGGGATCATCTTTTCAAATTTGAATGGGGTCTGGCCCTTCCTGCCCTCTAAGAATTCAAGCCTAAAATTAGGCATCTTCCAGAAACCCCTCAGCATATGTTCACAAATGCCTGAGAAGAGAAGGAAAGGCAAAAGGGAACATTCATTAAAGGAATTTTATAAATGCACAAAAACTTGCTTTTAAAAGCTATCTTGACTTTTCAATTTATAAATTATCTTGGCCTTCACTGCACAAATCTGGGTAGGGAGGTGAGGTCAAAGGGCAATGCAGCCTTAGAGGTCAGCATCTGGAAACAAGTGAGCACAGTGCTGGGCTCAGAAGCTCCTAAAAAGTAGCAAGAACATCTAAAGCACGCTATGACCGACTACGACACCTTGTGTCTGCAGGTTAAGCAGCAGGAGCAAGGGGTCAGTACTCACAGGCACCGTCACGTCATCGTAAAAGCTCCAAGCCAAAGCCCATCTCATTGTTCGTCCCTGACAGAATTCAGTGTGGGTGACTTTGGGGACCTGGGAGAGAGACATCAAACGTCATCAAATGACAATGAAGCAAGCCAGCCAAAACAGTGCTGTCATCTACAGTGTTGTAATCTTTCCTAAGTAATGGTTATAATCAAATACAGAGCTAAAAATGGAGCTTTTGAGAGCAGGTGCCTTCCCTTAAACTCGAGAGAGAACTGATGAAGCCAACTCAGAGGCAACTATGCTTTATCATTTAAACCCAGCTCATGAGGAAGGAATGTGGAAAGTGGTCCTTGTAAAATGTGAGCTTGGAAGGAAGGACAGTGCTGGTTCGAGCAGCAACAAGACACAGAAACCTATCGGGCCAATTTCTAGCCCCACAAACTGCTGCCACCTTCACTGGTGCTGTGACCACCAGGTCAATTCATACAGCCCTTCGTTGCAATTAATTTAAAGAATGAAAATTAGCATCCTAAACTGACTGTCCACACATAAGAAGGTGTCTAAAAATTTTAGCATTCCAAAGCCAATTCCTTAACTATCAAATTCAGACAACCAATCAATTCCTGCTTCAAAAGCAGCATGGCATCTTTTTTCCATTCCAGTCATGCCAAAAATGGAAAGAGCATTTCCTATTCTCATAGTTTACTGACAAGGTCCCAGCAGAAGGCAGATAGGTATTCTAACTGAAGTTTTCTTCCACTTTGTCATGGAAGGTTCCCCAGCACAGTAAGCTGAGCCAACTGTCCCAAATCCATACCATCTGCCCGAATATGTAAAACAAGATATATGGAGCCACACAACTTAACAACCTGCCTTTCTGAATCCTCCCTCTGAGTCTTAACCCTCTATTAGATCTGTCCAGCGAAGGGGCTTACAAAAGCTTTCTTTTCAAGACTTCTTTCAGATCTCAGTATATTTGAGTCATCCCCTCCCCACCAACACCTTTTTTTGTTGCCTACTGGGATTTTTCAGCCCATCATGTAAAGCTACCTCAACCCTGGGACAGTCAGATGGCTCCTTTTCCACTCTACCCGTGCCTTCACTTCGTGACTCTCGCAGGGGCTCCCCATAGGCTGATGACCACTGGCTTGCTCACAACCCTGCCAAGCTAAGGGTCCCACACCATGTTTGTTTCCCTTATTGCTGACACAGGCTTACCCCTTGTATCCGAAGCTCCTCCTTCAACGGAGCCAGACTGCATTTCTTTCCAAGCATGCAGCTATACCATCTAGGAAAAAACAAATCAGGTAATTTTAAACCATTTCCCCACTCTAAGAATAAATACCTTCTCCTCCTCCTGCAACTCAATGAAAGTAAATGGGAAAACTGCAAAGAAGAATAGTGAAAGAAACATTAGTGATAATGACAAGATTCACATTTAGTAATGCCTCTAGGAATGACTGAAAACAAGCCCAACAAACCTGAGTTAAAAAAAAAGAGATTGGATCAAGAGCCTCCTGGAAGGATACACCAGGAGAGGTCCAGGTTCAATTTGGAAAAAAGGAGAAGGAAAGCAGAGTAACCATTTTGATTTTTTCCTTTATAACAATGGCAGCCTCAAAATTCAAAAGCTTTGTAATATACTTGGGGGGAGGGAGAGTCAAGAAGAGTCAGCTCCAGGTTCAGCAGACTACAGAATTACTAATGTGCTCGGTCTGACATATGGGCCACTTCCTTCCCTCAGGAGGAGAAAAAGTGTGTCAATTAACAACAACAAAAACTTTAAGACCCCAAGCACAACAGTATAAAAGGACTCAGACATCAAAAAAGATCCGCAAACCCATCAGTCTCTGTTTACAGGGGAGGAAGGTTTCCCCCCACCTTACAGAGAATAAGGGACACTAGTTATCATATCATTTATTTCATCACAGCAATACTTGACAAATCCAGAAAGGGATATCCAGAAGGGATACCTGTCAGAACAAGGGAAAAGACTGAAATATAGAATATTTTTCATTAAATGCAGTTTTCCTTTAAACTTTTAAGTTGGTGGCAAGCACAATACTTTATTTGCATCACTAGCGATAGAAAAGCCGTTTCCTGACTTATGGGAGATTCTCTAAGACAGTAGTCTGCACAGACAAGGTGCTCAGATATTTGTTTTTGTTGAAACTGCTTGCCTTTGCTCTTCCATAGGCTAAACAACATCAATAGTACAGAGACAACGAGCTTGTCCCTGGTGTACAGGCACTTCTGTTATTCTGTTCTACTTGTAAATAAATCTGTGTTATCTTGTTTATAAGTTTAAAACATGAAGAAATAGGGTGTTATTCCTTAATAAAGTAAGTTGCAAGGTGGAAGACTTTGGAATGAAGAACTTGAGTAAATCAGAAGGAGAAGCAATTAAGAACTGTCCATCCTAAAGATTAGCAGGGAGGTGGGCGGGATGTCTCAGTTAACCGTCTTCTTCTAAATAGCCATCGTTAATGAGGGCATACAAGCATAAGCTGAGATTTTGAGCTGGGAAGAACCTCAGGGGTCATCTAGGAGAACCCCTTCTGTTACAGATGGGGAAGTAAAGGAGGAAACCAGAGAACTCCGTCCATTTTTCCCTTGACAACAAAGGCTGCCAACAAAATCAAAAATTCAAAAACACAAGAGGCTTTCTAGTACTCTTGGGGGGGAGGGTGAAAGGCAAAGTGATCTGCCCAGAGTTATTCAGGTAATTATGGCAGAGCAAGGATTGGAACTCAAGTCTCCTGGATCCCTAAAAGCCTCAGGGTAGGAGCAGAAGAAAGCTGAGAGAGAGAGAGAGAGAGAGAGAGAGAGAGAGAGAGAGAGAGAGA